AATAACTATTAAATTCAAAATAAGCAGAAGAAATGATAATAAGAGTATAAAGAAATGAAAAAAGAGGACAAAAATGCAATATTAGATAAATGCTGGTACTGAGAATTAACACCTAGCAAGGAAAAAAAGAGAGAACACAAATTATTAATATTAGAAGTTTTTAACAGGATGTAATTATAGATCCTACAGATACTGAAATTATAAGGGAATATTTTCAGCTAATAATTTTATGCTAATAAATTTGACAACTTAAATAAAACAGAATATTCCTTGGAAAGCACAAATTCATAAAGTGATATAAGAAATAACAGACTCGTATCTATTAAAGAAATTCAGTTCACCATCAGAAACCATTTCACAAGAAACCCTTATGACCAGATGTCTTCACTGATGTAAGTAAGTGTTAGTCCCTCAGTCGTGCCCAACCCTTTGTGACACCATGGACTGCAGCCCACCAGGTTCCTCTGTCCATGAGATTTTCCAGGCAAGGATACTGGAGTGGGTTGTCATTCCCTTCTCCAGGGGATGTTCCCAACCCAGGGATCGAACCCAGGTCTCCTGCACTGCAGGCAGATTCTTTACCAACTGAACTACAAGGTAAACTTGACCAATAATTTAACCAACGCCCCCTTCCCCTCAAATCATACCCACACTGTCACCAAATAACAGAAGAGGAACTTCTTAACTATATGAAGTCAGCATAATCCTGATACCAAAACTTGATGAAGATATAAAAAAAGAGCAAACTACAACCTAATGAACCTCATTAACAAAGATATAGAAATAATTAACAATATATTAAAATCTGGCAACATGTAAAAAGGAGTGTTGATACATTATAACCCAGTGCATATATTGGGTCCATGACCAATGGACCCAATCCATGACCCAGTTGGGTTTCTCTCAGGAATGCAAATCTGATTAAGCATTCAAAAGCCAACCAATGTCATTCAAAATATTAACAAAGGGCAAAACCATATGACAGTTTTGAAAGAGAGGACTTCCCTGGTGGTACAGTGGTAAAAATCCACCTGCCAATGTACAGTACATGGGCTTCACCCCGTCCAGGAAAATTCCACAAACCATAGAGCAACTAAGCCTGTGTGCCATGACTACTGAGCCCGAGCGCTAGAGCCCATGAGCCACGACTACTGAGCCCTCAAGCTCTACAGGCTGTGCTCTGCAACGACAGAAGCCACCGCAATGAGAAGCCTGCATATCACAGCAGCCCTCGCTCACTGCAACTAGAGAAAAAGCCTGCATGCAGCAACAAAGACCCAGTGCAGTCAAAATAAATAAACAAATAAAATTAAATGTAAAAAAATTAAAGAGGCAAAAGGATACAGAAAGAGTATCTGAAGATATCCAACAACTATTAATGATACAAAAGTCTTAGCAAACTGGAAATGGAGGGGAACTTTCTCAACCTGAAAAAAAGACTTTTATGAACAACCTAACAATCATAGTTCAAGGGGAAACACTGAACTAATTTTCCTTTACTAATACTGTAAGCAAGGAAAGGATATCTACTCTTCCCACTAGCACTAAAGGTGCTAGTTGGTGCAATAAAGCAAGAAAAAGAAATAAAAGATACAAAGATTAGAAAAGAGATAAAAGTGTTATTAGTAAGCCAACATGATTGCACAAATGAAAAACCCTGCAGAGTATTAGGAAAAAACCCAACCTATCAGAATATGCAAATTTTAAAAGGCTGAAGGGATGTAAGATCAATATATATATATAGACTTGGAGGGACTGATGTTGAAGTTGAAACTCCAATACTTTGGCCACCTGATGCAGAGAGCTGACTCATTTGAAAAGACCCTGATGCTGGGAGGGATTGGGGGCAGGAGGAGAAGGGGATGACAGAGGATAAGATGGTTGGATGGCATCACCAACTCAATGGACATGGGTTTGGGTGGACTCTGGGAGTTGGTGATGGACAGAGAGGCCTGGCGTGCTGTGGTTCATGGGGTCACAAAGAGTCAGACACAACTGAGCGACTGAACTGAACTGGTATATAGACTTCAATATATATAATGAAGAATTAATTACATATGCATATAGAAGCAGCAAACAATTTGAAAATGAAACAAACAATTCTACTTATGATCACATAAATAATATAAATATTTAGGGAAAAATGAACATAACTACTGAGCCCACATGCTCTAGAGCACATGCTCTACAAGAGAAGCCCATACCCTGCAACTAGAGAAAGCCTGCATGCCCCAACAAAGACCCAGCACAGACAAAATTTTTTAAAACATTCTTTTTTGTGGAATACAAAGGATCTAGAATAGCCAAAACAATACAAAAAAGAAGAACAATTGTTGGCGGGTTTATGCTACCTGATTTTGAAAGTGAAAGTTGCTCAGTCATGTCCAACTCTTTGCAACCCCATGGACTATATATAGTCCATGGAATTCTCCAGGCCAGAATACTGGAGTGGGAAGCCTTTCCCTTCTCCAGGGATCTACCCAACCCAGGGATCGAACCAAAGTCTCCCACATTGCAGGCAGATTCTTTAGCAGCTGAACCACAAGGGAAGCCCAAGAATAATGGAGTGGGTAGCCCATCCCTTCTCCAGAGGATCTTCCTGACCCAGGAATTGAAGCGGGATCTCCTGCATTGCAGGTGGATTCTTTATCAACTGAGTTATCAGGAAAGCTTACTATAAAGTCAGAAATAAGAAAGTGTGGTATTGGCATGCTGCTGCTACTGCTGCTAAGTCACTTCAGTCGTGTCCGACTCTGTGTGACCCCTTAGACAGCAGCCCACCAGGCTCCGCTGTCCCTGGGATTCTCCAGGCAAGAATACTGGAGTGGGTTGCCATTTCCTTCTCCAGTGCATGAAAGTGAAAAGTGAAAGTGAAGACGCTCAGTCGTGTCCGACTCTTCGAGACCCCATGGACTGCAGCCCACCAGGCTCCTCTGCCCATGGGATTTTCCAGGCAAGAGTACTGGAGTGGGGTGCCATTGCCTTCTCCGGTATTGGCATAAGAACAGGTATAAAAATGAGTGGAACAGAAGGGTCCAGAAATAGACCTAGACATACATGGTCAATTTATTTTTGACAAAAGTGCCAAGTCAATTTAAAAGGGAAGAAAAGTCTTTTTAACAAATGTTGCCAGAACAACTAGATGTCCATATAGAAAAAAACAAACCCTGACTCTTATCTCATACAAAATTCATTTGAAATGGCTCAGGGTTAAATGTAAAAGCTAAAACTATAAACCTCCTAGAAGACAGGTTTCTAGAAAATTATTGCAACCTTAGGTAGGCAGAGTTTAGGGACAAGGAAAAATCCACCAACCATTAAAAAAAATTATTAACAGGACTTCATCAGCATTAAAAATATTAGCTCATCAAAATACATCACTAAAAAAATGAACACACTACCCCAGACTCAAATAAAATGTACTTGCAGCACAAATATTTGACAGAAGATGTGGATCCAGAATATATAAAAGAACTCCTACAAATTTACAGTAAAAAGAGGCAAGAGGTGTAAATATCTACCTCACACAGAAGATATCTGAATGGTTAGGAAGCACACAAAAAGGCGGTTAACCAGAGAAATGCAAATTAAAATCACAATGCAATACCACATCATATATTCTAGAATGGCTAAAAAAGACTGATAGTTCAAAGTGTTGCCAAGGATTTGGAGCAACTGGAACATTCACATAATGTTCCAGCAATGGGAGTATAAAATGGAACATCCACTTTGGACAACCATTTGGCAGCTCCTGTAAAACTTAACATATACATATCCTAAGAACCAACAATTCTCACCTTAGATATTTACTCAACAGAAATGAAAACACATACCTACAAAAAACCATTTTACTGAAATGTTCACAGTAGCCTGCTTTATAACAGTCCCACCTGGAAACAATCCAAATGTCCACCAAGAGATGAAAAGGCAAACACTGCATATTCATACAATGAAACGCGACTGAAAATGAGCTCTCGATACACACAGCACTAAGGGGGAGTTTCAGAAAGACACTAAGTAAAAGAAGCCGACCACAGCACTGAGGGATGACATTTTTATAAATACCAAGAATAATCAAAATTAATCCACAGTGATAGAAATTTGGAACAGCTGTTAGGATAGGGGGGCTTGGAGGTGCTTGAAGAGGGACACAATGAAAATTTGAGGTGGGAGATAGAAATGTTCTAACATCTTGCTTTGAGTGGTGGTCACACAGGTATATATAACTATTAGAACTCTTTGAACTAATAAGTATTTTAGATTTGCACATTTTGTCATATGTTAATTATACCTCAATTTAAAAAACCTCTAAAAACCGTTTTACAAGTATGGAAGGCAATCCAAAATATTAACAGCGACTGCTTCTGGGAGGTGGGATTATGGCTAATTTTTTCTTTGCTGATTCACACTTTTTTCATCTTTATAATTTTCTATACTGAACCCCCGCCTTCCTCTCCCACCACCAATTTCCACGGTACTTATGTTTTAGAGTTTCACAAAGATCCTAAAATGTCGCCAGTGTTCATCTTCTCAAAGTATATAGGATTACAGGTAAGTAACAGACGTGTGTGTCAAGCTCTCCTTCCACAGCGGGCGTGTGGCTCAGTCTCTATGTGGGACATGGAAGGGGCTCAGCAGCTCAGCCAGGAGCGACGGGGCAGCCTGGGGAGAGGAAGAGGTCCGACGTGGGAGAGCTCAGCTCTGACCCCGGCTCACTCACCGAGTGGAGGGTGAGTCACGGAGCCCCTGTTTCTTCACCCCTAAGATGGGAACAAGATGTATCCCCTTTTCTGCCTCACTGGGCTTTTGTGGGTGTTAGCCGAAATGGTCTATACAGCACAGAAGGAATTAAGGAAGTAGTAACTTCTGATATTATGTGAAAAGTCAGAAAAAAGTCTTTCTCACAAGTCAGATTTACTACTCTTAGTTCCATGAGAAACAAATAAGAACTTTGCTGGGACGACACAAAGCTGTTCAAATCAACAGCCAAGGACTCTTACCTGTTGGCATAATGGTGATTCTGCAAACCATAGGAGACGCACTGCGTGTTTAGCCGCTTTGGCTCAACCTCCTTCCAACTATCTTCTGTCCACTTTCTCTTCATCTGCTTCTCCTCACGTTTTTTCCCGACATAGTCAGCATAGGTCTGGATGCGATAGCTCTCTGCATACTTGCTGGTATTGACAGCTACAAGGAAAAGAAAAGATCCTTAACAAAGGGTCCGGCCTGGCCTCAGGACGTCGGAAAAGTGGCTTAAGGTCATCAGAGGAACCCTGAGGTGAGGTCTGCCATTGAGAAGCCAGGTGGCCTTGGGAACATCCCACGGCTCTCCCCATCTGAGTCTTCTCACCTGGAGAAAACAGAGTCCTGCTCCCCAGCCTCCCTTACAGTGCTCTGTAAACTATAAAGAACCAGAAGGATGTAAACAAGACATTAATTTTCAGAATATCTGCAGGTAACATTACTGCCTGAAAAGTGCTCATTTTCAGAGTAAGAAAATGAAAAACAAAACCAAACCGCCAAGGAAAACCGTTGTGAAAATAAAGATGACAGGAAAGGCAGTGCGGCCAGCGGTGCTGATCCCTGTAGGTCTACCGTATGCCTGTGCCTGGTGCTCTGCATACGTGATGTCTAACCTTCACAGGACACTTGCAAGCGAGAAATCACCTCTGATGAATATAAGCAAGCTGGGGCACTGAGGCGGAGGCTGCCGCAGGCCACACTGCACCAGTGGCAGGGAGGAAAACCAGGCTGCTTGGACCCTACGGCCAGGGCCCTGCTTGAAGTTCTGCACTTCACTTTGGACTCTGCAGATTCAAGATAGTCCCACCATAGTTGAGACCTGCTTCTTCTCTTTCTCTTCTTAAAGCCTGCTAATTCTCTGTGATGTGCTTTCTGGCAAGAGTTCTTGAGAGCCAGAGCTTGTTCCCTTTTTGGTGTTAATGGGTGATAAGGCCAGGACCGTCTTCCTGCCTCCTTCTTGGAGGCTGGGGGCTGGAACACGGGAGTGGCCTGGGAGTGAGGACCCACAAAAACCATGTGGAGAGGCCCCTTGTGCTGCTCTGTTTCGGCAGTGTGAGCACACACTTCCTGCCCACTGGTTATTACCCCCATTAGCAGCAAGACAGTAAGGGCTGGGCCCTGCTGGCGGGGGGCTGCGGGAGCAGACCTGGGACCTGTGCCGCTGGAAAAGCACCAAGATGTCTGACTCTGTGTACCCACTTTCAGCAACTTCTTGGTACAGAGTAAAGGAAGTGAGTGTTAGTCGCTCAGCAGTGTCTGATGCTTTGTGACACCATGGACCGTAGCCCACCAGGCTCCTCTGTCCATGGGGACTCTCCAGGCAAAAAGACTGGAATGGGTTGCCATGCCCTTCTCCAGGGAATCTTCCTGACCAAGGGGTTGAACTCGGGTCTCCTGAGTTGCAGGCGGATTCCTCACTGTCTGAGCCACGTACAGAGTGGTTCCCAGTAAATATTATGTGAATGAATGTAGCAAGTGATGATGAACACACCAGACCTGGACAAGGGACTCCTGTACTCCAGGGACCTTGAGCCGCAGGGACAGACACCTAGATGAGACGCAGATACCCCCTGCATATCTGACATGACCAGCTTCACTCCAAGCAGACCAGATTTGCCCAAAACTCCTCAGCACAACAGTAGTTTATAGAATGTCATGCCTTAAATGCTTAGCCATCTGAAGAGCAAAAGCAAAATAAAACACAAAAAGAAAAATAAGGAAAGACTCCCACTATTTAAAGTATTTTTTTTCTTAAGAAGTTTGCTATACTTTTCAAATATTCACTCTAGAATTAAAGAGGGGTAGGGTGGGGGGAGGAACAAACCCTAAAGGTATTAAAGAACTTTCATATTGTCCCAAGGAAGTAGAGTGAGTTAATGAAATGTGAGCTCAAAACAGCTTGCTCTGACTCACTCACAAGGAGATAAACAGAAAGCAATCAGTTCTGCAGATACGCTATCGACCAAAGTCACTCAGATCAAAGAACTGCAGAAACAGGATCCTTTGCTGAAAATCCTATTCCTCAGGACAGTTACTTTTCTAGCTTCCAAGGGACTGCACTTCTGACTTCCTCAGCTCATTCATCTAACTGCCCCACAATCTGTACATCCAACCAACATCATCCATCCATGCCTCTGCCCAGCAATTGCTCACTAAGTGCCTGTCCGTCCCAGGGACCATGCTAGACATCTGGCAGAACAAGACACAGTCTCCACCTCTCAAGCCCACCTTCTCATAGGCAGGCTTTATGCAGAGTTATGTAAGCCTGAGACTACCTACTACACAACAGGTTCACCTCTCAGTGCGATGGACGCTGTGAACCCACAGATTCTACATGCTTATTCTGTACCGGTCGTTGGCAAGTGAGCATCTGCTGGATTTTCCTCTTTAGGTTTCACTCCTTACTCAGGCAGGTTTATTTTGAAGCGTGTCCCCAAGGGAAGACATCTGCCGCAATGCCTCTCTCGAGTTTAGTTTGGACTACCGAGTCAAAGAGGAGGCCTGAGTCAACATTCACCATGAAAGCAAAGGTGATGATAAGGTCATAAAGGAGCCAAGATGATCTACTTAACAGCATCCGACTGTTTCCAGTAATTTAGGTCCCAGCCCCATGGACAAATGCTTCAAAAGCTCCCTGACCATGATGGGGAATTTATCTGAGCACATTTGGAACGAGGAGCGCCTAAAGGGGGAAACAAATAACAATCCCCTTTTCACTGCTGGCCTTCACATGGCAATAATTTACCAGCATTCCTTCAAGTCCCAGCAGCTTTGCAGCTCTCGGCCTTTAATCTGGAAGCCAGCTCTGGCGCAGAGCCACCCCTCTAATGGATGAATCAGCAAAATGAATTGGCTGTCAGCTGCGTCCTTCAGTGATTCCAGCTCGCCTGTCAGAAGCGGCGTGGAGCAGGCGGCTTGGTAACACTAACCTTTTCCAAATTTGTCAGGGAAATGATTCAAGGCCATCTTTCGGCCATGCCACTCTGTCGAAGCCACTGCAAAACCAGACACGGTGAGGGCCCTCCCCAGGTCCCTGTGGGTGAACAAGAGCACCTCCTCTCCCGCAGACTTCACCCACCCACAGCTCCGCTGAGCCGGGCGCCCTGTCTCGAAGCATTTAATCTTTACAACCACCCCACAGGGAAGAGACGTTCTAGTCATCACACAGATAAAGAGACTGAATATCAGGGAGCCAAGCACGCCTGCTTACGGTCTTGCAGAGCAAGCGATAAAGCTGGTTTGGAAACAACATATGAGCTTTTAAAAAAATATAACATTGCCACAAGTCTGACATATATTTGTGTATTTATGTGTCCATTTAGATTGAGGATTATCTCATAAAATGCTTCCCTGAAGAGGACTTTTAAAGAATTACTTACAATGTTTAGATTTTTTTCTTTATTTTTTCCCAAAAATGTAGACCCTTCCACTACTATCAAGGAAAAAGTCTCTCCAACTAGGTCAAGAGCTACATTATGTTCACAAGAAGACTTTACGTAAAACATAGAGACCCTCCTAAATTGATCTATAGATGTGATGCAATTCCAATTTTTAAAATTCCATTTTAATAAAAACATTGAAAAAAATTTTTAAGAGATTAAGAAAAATCTCAGCAGAACGCTGAGCAGCAGCAGCCAGGGACTATGGGGATGAGGTCAACCCCCGGGAGGTGAGGGAGCTCTGGGAGTGATGGGACTGCCCTTTGAGTCTTGACTGTGGTGGAGGATACATGATGGTGTGCGTTTGTTAAAACAAAGACCTGGCCAATAGAACAGCGTGTGTGTATTTCATGGTATATAAATTACATCTCAATCATTCTGTGGAATTTGAAAGGTCTGATTCCAAATTTTAAGTGGAAGACAAATGGGCCAATAATAGCCCAAACATTTCTGAAGAAGAATAAGAAAGGGAGACTTCCCTGGCTAGCTAAAAAGCTTATTGTAAACCTGTAGTACTTAAGACAGTGCCATAATGGTACAGAGATAAACAAACTGACCCGTGGTACCGGAGAGCCTAGAAACAGAGCTAGGCATCTGTGAAACTCTGATATCTGACAGCGGCAGCATGACAGCGTGCAAAAGGAAAAGTTAGAAAAATTGTTTATCTACCGGAAAAAAAGAAAAAGAAAAAAAAAAACTGGATTCTTACTCACACCAGGCCAAAAAATCAACTCCAGATGGATGAAGCACTTAAATGTCAAAAGCAAACTTCGAAAACTTGAAAAGAAAATAGAAGTGAATATCTCTTCCTGAGCTTGAAGTAGGAAAGAATTTATGAAGATACAAAAAAAATGTTAAGCATAAAGAAAAGATTAATAAGTTTGGCTACATTAATATGAAAACTTGTGTCTGGCAGAAGATACTCTGAAGAGGGCAAAGACAATCTACATGCTGGGAGGAGATACTTCTAACATGTGCAACTGATGGAGGATTAGCACCAGAATACATAAAAACGCCTACAAATCAGTAAAAGAGGACCCAACAGAAAAATGGGCAAAAGACACAAAAAGCACGCCCAGTCATTTCACAGAAAAGGGAGCATAAAATGCCAATAATTATATAAAGGAGCTGCTCAACCTCAGGTAAAGGCAAATTATGAGCACTTAAATAAGGTATCATTTTGTAGATTTTCAAGGGCTGGGGGAAGGCAGGGGGAACAGGAGACAGAGAAGGAAAGAGGAGAGAGCGAGAGTGAGTCTGAGGGCTAGAGAGGCACACAGCATCAAAAAAGCAAGAAGAGGATCAACGTGACTTTTATGAAAGTGGCTCCCCCCTTTCCATGGTCCCCCAACAGGAATCAGGGGTTTGGGATGCTGGAGGAACAACAGATTCTTGTTACAATGTGTTAACGGTATTTTAGCTCTTCCGGTTGAGTAGTGGTTTCACAGATGTTCATGACGTTGTAAACAAATTGTTTAGGTTTTCTGTTGTATACTCGGTCCAACTCCTAAGGGCCGTTTCTGAGACTAAGTCTGAAGGCCTCTTGTAGGAGGTAAGAGTTACTTCCAGTTTCAACGTCTCGGGCGATAAGGTGTCCCTGAATGGCTGGAGTGCCATAAATAAGCACGAGGGTGCTGACACACCCGGCTTCTCAGACCTTCCCCGGGGAAGCTGAGGATACTTGTGAAGCCTGGTTATCAAGCTGCTGCAATCATTTTATTGCAG